GAAACAACTGTCCAGCACTCCATGCAGGTTTTCCAGAGGTTCTCTTTCTATCTGTTTTCGACATAGAACTTTGCACAAATGTGCGGAAGTTCAAGTCGCCACACTCCGTGTAGCACGCGAAGCAAGAGAAGAAAGTACAAGAAAAGCATAATAGAAACAGTGAGCAGAGGTGTGAGATACAGGAGTAATAAAGAAAACAGCCTGACCCTATATCCGCTAACATTACTCGTCAAGGAAGGCGATGACTAGGCATACGTAACACATGTCCTAACCATCTCAGTCTTTGTGACTTCACAACTTCGTCGATTGATTTCCAGTGTTTACCTAGAACTCGACGCCCAACCTCAATATTGCTTACCTTATTATACCACTTCACACGGGATAGAACGCAGGCACCTATGATCAAATACAGCTAATCTTTTCATGTCTTCCACTCTCAATGTCCAGGTCTCACAGCTTGTCATAAAGGACAGAGAAGATTGATGAGCAGTACACCCCCCCCTTTGGTCGATAGTCGAATATCTCGTCTACGCCAGAGACGGCGTAAACTGGCAAATGCGAAATGAGCCCCCTGTATCCGTTCTGAGATTTCGTCAGAGATCAACCCGTTGGCACTGGCTGATGCAACTTTCCAAATAAGTGAAGCGGTCAACGTGCTCTACCACTCCACTCCCTATTTGTGTGTTGGATACTGCCTTGTCCACAATGCTTCATGTTAGTCTACTGATAATATTTCACAAAACCATAACAGTATATACCTATGACTAGTATTCAGAAATTGAACCTAGTATCCAAAAATGCATTAATGTATTAATGACATCTTCTGAGCATATAACTCGGACCCAGTAGCTGAGGGTCCTTATTAAATTTCTTTTGTACTGCTAGAGGGAAACAACGCTATGAAAATGTGTGTATATTGTCTTGTCCATATGCTTTTCCTATGCAAATTTTTCTCTATACTATCATCTGGTTTTCTTGTAAGAACATCTAAGAAGGCAATTAATTATATTTTAGGACTCCTCTTCGCACGTGAATTTTATAGCAGAATGTACCCTATTGAATTTAATTTATTACTGCCTTCGTATCCGAGTCGTGTTCACAAATAATGAAGGTATCATCCATATATCGGAAGTAAAATGAGAATTTTCTGATAAGACTGTTCAAAGGACCATTTTCTAGTTTACTTGAAACAGAAATCTGCCAAAATGGGACCTAATAGGGAGTCCATTGCCACGCCATCCACTTGTCTATAAATCGTAACATCAGACTTAAAATTTACCTACATGGTACACCTTAATAACAGTTTCTTTAGGATTTCTGTTTAGATGCCAGTATTTATCGACTTGTTGTACACTTATCCCCATATGTAGTTAACTGTTTCTACTAGAGACACACTTGTGAATAAAGATTTTATGTCCAAAGATATCAAAGGTTTTATCCTTGATATTAATATCTGTGATTTCGTCTACGAATTCAAATACATCATTAACGCTATGTTTCACTATCTTCCCACGCATATCACTTTATTCCACACACTAATGATTATACAGAGTGGAATTTTCAACGTTCCTACATATTGCAATAATTTATCTCCCTTTACAAATATTTAAATACATTAAATAGTTAAAGTAATAAAACAACAAAAACTGAAAGTTACTGGAACACAATGAATAATAGATAAATAATATTACAAATAATATATACATATATATGTAACAATAATTCTGGTTATGCTTTGTAATACAGTTACTGATTTAAAAAGTTGATCAGCTCTTCTCTGACATTTGTCCCTCCACACAACGCCCACGCGAAATATGGTAGACTTGAATTTTTAGATTTACTAGCTGTACGAGCATAAATTCTTATGAAATTCCCTCTGGTTTCACCCGATGAGACACAAGGACATACAAGCGGCGAACAATGAAGAGGATATCCAGTATGCGAGAAGATGGCTCCAGTTAACTGTTTGAAAGAATTAAAATATCTAACAGCAACAACAGTGTCAGTTATCTGAGTGAGCCTAAGACACATCAATAACCCTGTTGACAGCCTTCAATGTTCTACGCAGTATCACATAGTCTTTTATTGAGAAGCTCATGGGAGAATAAGGGGGAACAGAATGCATGAATTCATAAATTAGGAGAGGAGAGATTGAGTTGTGCCAGAAGTTATCAGAATGTTTTTCCCTAGAAATCAACATCCCAGGCGATCAACGGAGATTCGAAGAGAAACTGATGCCGAGATAGGAGATATTCGATTTACTGTCTGACATAGTGCCGTCTAAACTACAAGAATCATACGACTGAATCGTCACTCGATTATGGAAAAAGATTTTATTTTCATAAACTGTCACACAGCGTTACACAGTAAGAAAAAAAACTGATGACGTTTCGAGCACAAATTATTACCACTCATAATCATATCATGGCACTCACTCATTCATTTATATACATGAGTGGAATTGATGATTAGATATTTGAATACAAATCAGTAATATAGGATAATGTATATTCAGAAATAATAATAATTATATGAGTGTTGTTGATTACTTACAATCAGATGGGAAATACGACGAATGTTTGTGTTATAGTCAAAATAAGTGAGAAACTTGTTAGAATGTTGTGATGATGTACGTGAATTGAATTGAAATAGAATACAAGTTAAGATTATTTATTATCGTCCTCTGATTTGACTGACTGACTGGCGGTAATAATATCTTCCAAGCATATTTCTGGTTTGGCATTGAGTCATTTCTGTTGCATGTGGTGTGTTGGGTGTAGACTCGGTGAACCAGAGAGGATTCAGTAATCAAACTCTCTCTCCACCTATATTACTTTTTAGAATTTTAACCCTATCCCACCCTATCGTGTGGTTGTTTGTTAATGCGTGAAGTGCAATTGCTGACCATTTTTCTAAACTACTTATTTTTTCAGAGTCAACCATTCTTCCCTTAGCTAAATTCTTATGTTCTGATAATCTGAATACCCCCGACCTACTAGTTTGACCTATGTAAGTAGTTGACCTAACTCACAGTCATTACAGGGTATTTTGTAAATGATATTATTTTGTTTAATTGTGTCCACCGGCTCTTTTAGCCTACAGAGCTTGTCCTACCTGAGTGAGTTCGTAGGTTTGAATACCACCCCTATTCCTGCTTTGTTATTAAGAATCATACGTAGGGTCTCAGATATACAGCACTGTGTGATTTATCAAAATAAAATCTTATCTATAATGGAGAAATCGGTTATGGCATTAAACTTGATAAAAAGAAAGCGGCACAATAACGACTTTGACAGAACCACAGTTCTGAAGAAAAGGTCTCATTTCAAAGTGCCTTTTCAAATAGATTATATGAACTGCGGTTAAGATTTGACCTAATAATTATACATTTGGCTAGGTAAGGAGGGGAAATCAATTGACGATGCTGTGAAATTACATCGACTGAGATGGTTAGGACGTGTCACGCATGCATGCCAAGTCATCGACTTCCTCGACAATGGGCAATATTAGCTGATATGGAGTCAGGTTGGAAAAGAAAGAGCTGGCGGCAGTCAAACCAAAACATGGCTTCAACAGTCAATGAAATCTACTAGTTAGTTTAAGCCAGCCAGTCAGACACGTAGGAAGGTGTAGACTTCCTGACTGGTTGGAGTCGTTGGGACGGTAAAAACCAATGAAGGCTGGAAACAATTGGCGATATAGCTCAAAATCGTTCTGAATGGCTGGCTGGCGCAGATGCATCCACTCCTTGTGACTTATGATTGCCAATGAAACCATATTGTTCTTCGTTCGTTATTACTATTCCTTTGTCTCATACCTCTGTTTACTATCTCTCTATTATGCATTTCTACTTTCTTCTGTTGGTTTGTGTGCTACATGGAGGGAGTGTGGTGACTTGAACTGGTGCACATCGGTGCAAAGTCCTATGTCGAAAACAGACAGAAGGAATGAACTCATTTCGGAAAATCTTACTACATGACACATTTTTCAAATGTCTTATGGAAATCACGACATACTAACATTGTGAAAACACGATAAGTCGGCTGGCTTACCTTAGTAATTATATGTTATTTTTAAAACTCCTTTTAAGGCATTTCTGCATTTGTAGTTTATTTCCTATAGTTTGGTTCGTAAGGGTTAGTTATGTTTTTTTACGAGCTGATCACAGATTGATATCAGTTAGAGAACCATTAAAAACCAGCAGCAGGGAGTACTGGACACCTGCTGTTTCATCAGCCTAGTTTGAGAATCATCGGCAGCACGTCAACATTGGGATTCGAAACCAGTACCTTCCAGTTACAAGGCAAGCTGGTATATTATTCAGCCAATGGGACCTGATTCAATGGCTCATGAATTCTAACTTTTATCAATTCGTGATTTAGCGCGACCCCAACCATTGTCATTGGTGGGACATCCATTCACACAAAGGACATCTGGATGGACCTCATTGGTCACGATTTCTCACTAAAACTGACTCCAGGAGACTCCATCCTGTAGCAAGTCACTAACAAGCATCAGATTAATTTTCTATAGTTGTTTTTAGTTTATCAGAATTTTACCGTTTTGAATACATGGAAGGCACAGGTAATAGCAACTCAACCATGAACTACATTCAATCAATCAGTTAATGAAGTAACACCTCATGATAGCAGATTATGGAAGCCATCGAGCAAGCTTTAAAAAATTCACAGAACAGAGTGAAGTGGATATGTGCTGCCAAAGCCGTGTTTCACTTGGAATCCAAGGGAATAATAGTAATAGAAATAAAAGCTTAAATGCAAAACAACCATCAGGAGCAAAGTGACACCAACAAAACCGTTAAAATCCCACTGAAAATATCTCAATTCACATGTTAACAGAACATGTATACACCATACTTTAATCAAATTCAGACAACATACATATACTTGCTAAGTAATCACTGGTGTCAAAACTACTTAAAAGGAACAGAAATAAAGAAACTAATGGCATAAAAGATGATCAATTAGGTTAAAGCTCACCTTCTTAAAGTCCACGGGATGATATCAACATCGAGGATTGATGAAACCAAGTGAAAATCACTGAGCACACTAATAACGGGTTTTTCAGATCGACGAGGTTTGCCACTACTACCGAAATTCCGAAGAGTATTAGCTGCACCTCGATGGATAAGACTGTGTTTAGTAGTTTTGTAACCGTATAGCTCTCCATAACTCTCACCTATCCCAGATTAAATATAAACACTCCCGACATACCCTTTCTCTGCAGCAAAACTCTTAGTAGAGACTTTGACGAATTTACAGCCACCTCGAAATTTTTGTTATTGCTGATAGGTAATAAGTCTGAATTCTTTGGTTCTACATATTGGATAACAAATGGGATGTTGAAAAGCATATGTATCCGCTCAAGCAGGGAATAAAAAGCACTGTATTGTAGTGAATCTTCGACCAGAAAACTGAAGCGTCGAAATTCAGCGTCAAACTAAGTGATAAACTATTTCTTAGTGAGTTATAATACCTTGCTTTTGACCTCTACAAGCCTACCAACATCCATTTCTCACAATACTCGAATGACGCTCTGAAAAACCGCTTTTAAATTACCCGCATAAATATTCAGATGTCCAATATCCTTCTTAAGGGTCCATTATTTCTGTAGTGAAAGTTCGCGGTCTTCCAAAAACTTCCACATGGTTTTTCCTACCACTCGAATCCAGAAACTCCGGTTAAGAGGTTTATTTATACTTGGTTTTAGTATACAGTATTTTAAGAATGAGCTAATGTTATCAGCAGTGTTCAGCATTTCTTTGGATAGTCGTATAATGGAGTTGAGACAAGAAATGACCATAGCAAAATTAGTGGAAATTTTTAATTAGAAGTGAGTAAATGAAAAGGTAGAGTGTGGTCAGATAAGTGAAATTTGGGAGACTAAAAACAGTGGCAAAATATGAGTGCAGACGGCTGGGCTTATCCGTCACGCTGGTTGAAATCGCGCTTGGTAAACTCATTTTATGAATAATTTTTAATGAAATCGTATCGTATGTTTTCTAGATTGATAGGAATTCTCACTTCTTGACCAGTCATGTTGGTGTCCACGTCATGTGATCTGACTTCGACACACTCTTGCATATTGGTTGCAATGATGAGTGGTCCAGGCGGATTGTGTCAAGATATCACTATAATAAGCAAGATGGTGTAATGTCACCTACACAAACAGTCCACTTTATGTAGAAGCCACACCTTCCAGCATACTGACCGAACATCTGGTTGTCATCAAAATCATAAGGCATGCTATAATCGATATCTCATATCTGTAAATGTGTTGTGAAACGCTAGTACATCCCAGCTGGTATTTTAGTCGGGCGCACTGCAGAACCGTTGAGGCAACATACTTCGGACCCACAGTCGAACGCGGGGAAAGGCCCCTAAGCCCGCCCCGAACATTCTCCATTGCTCCCGACGTCTGCCTTAGCCATTCTACAATACACTCAAAGCATGCTCCGATAATTCTACAATGTGCCAAAAGCCTGTCCCAGATATTCCGCAATGCGCAGTAACTTTCTAAGATTGACTAAGGCCTGACACTACGAGCATACGGTTACGCATTGAACCCTTAGTCGACAGCCAACATAGAGGCAAACCTGTTATGTTCACAGTTCGTCTCAAAAAACAGCATACTAGAAGCAGCTCAACGACTCACAATATCAGAAAGCGGTTGACTTTGATGAAACATATATTTAATATTCTTGGCAAACGAATTTACAATGCACTGACACATCATAAAAGTAAAACAGCATTTAAATCACCAGAGGCATTCAACCGTGTGCACTCTGTATCTAGTCTGTTTCCCTGTTTTCATCGGAGGTGGCATAGTGGTTAGGACTCTCGCCGACTATGCAAATTGTCCGAGGTTCGGTGCCCTGCCGACGCACACCGGACATCTATGGTCGGTCTGCAAAATTTTGGCTACCGATATCCATGCTGAAAATTCCGTAATTGTACCAAAAATACAGTGTGGAATCAAGCTGTAATAAAAAAATAATAAGATATAAAAAATAAAATCTGAAAATAAAATATGTAAAAATAGAGAACTACGAAAGATGAACGTCCCATTCTCAACTTCATTCTGTCGCGACTGTTATGGAACCAACTTTGAAAGGAAGTCACGATGGCGTTCACTGTGTTGCGTTTATCATCACTGCCTTGTTGGTGGCAGCCGTTAACAGTTATTAATAAATACAATGAAAACAAAATTCACTTACGGATCCCAGGGTTACACGTATTGGTGTCCTTGAATTGCTTCTTCTCATTGGTGGCAGCCCATGAAGAATGTGAGCTGTATGCCGGCTCCAGTAAAACATTCATGATACGGCCAACGGAGCTTTTTTGATTACAGCTTGGTTCCACACCGTATTTCGGTACAAGTATGGAATTTTCAGCATGGATATCGGTAGCCAAAATTTTGCAGACCGACCATAGATATCCGGTGTGCGTCGGCAGGGGATCGAGCCTCGGACCATGTGCATAGTCGGCGAGAGTCCTAACCACTGTGCCACCGAAGCACAGAGCTTTGAACACTGCCGTCAACTAAAGTGCCAAGGTCGGAAGACACACTAGGACGGTATTGCTCGCTGGACAGTTTTGTCTTAAAGGATGGCGTACCGGTGTCGCAGTCTAACATAATCTGCCTGAAGACGTCAAGACTTGGACAGAATTCAGACAGGAGACATTCTGGTCGATGTTCTCGACCACTTTGAGTCGCGAGGGTTTACCCTCAACCTCACCGGCTCTCAGGCTTAGTGTTCTCGGATGACGAGCCTCTAAGTGGTGCATACAAAACTTCCGATGCAGTTTTCGTTGCAACTGCCTATTAGAAATTATCTGAAAAGGAACAATGTTAAAAATATAACGTTACTGTAGAGTCTCAGAAGAAGGAACACATAAGTCATGTAGCCCAGGGCAGCCTCTGCAACGATAGTTGTTACTGCGCTTCAGGAATGTTAACATTTTCGCAAATCGTTAATAAAAGTTAAACAATTTAGGTGAATGAAACATGTTTACCTAAATGATAAAGAGGTGTTTTAAAAAATGAGGGTCATGAAAATTTCATATTACTCACAAGATTTAACAGTTGTAAAGGAATTTGAGTTGACTGATTGGTAAGATAACAGGAAAGAGACAACCATTTAACTAAGAGGTAGCTTGTTTCGTAGCACTTATTCAATAGTAACAGTTCCCTAACGCGTCTTTTGCTTCTTTTATTTTCCAGGTTACGTTCTTTACTTCTTCGATCGCTCAACTTATTTATAGATTCTTATGAGGCATAAACAGAGAATATACGTGTGAATATTGATATTATGAATGTATTTGTCGAAAAATATTTCTAAAAAGTCTACTAGACTTTTATGCATTAGTAATACCTACTGGTTATCGTACAGAACAGTGATGCCAACTTAGAAGACGTAATATTCGTAAAACGTCATAATCACACGTAAATGAAATGGGCTTAATGACGTACTTTTATAGCTTTCTAGTAATAAGTTCCGCTGGTATGCTGTAAATATGTGATAACAGCACCGGAGGCCAATGTAAAAAGTTAGAGTATTTTGCGATATCAAAATAATTGATGAAGTAGAGAGATGTAGATAACTTACATGTAAGTCTAAGTGGAAACATGATCATTCAAGAGCCTATGGATACTAAATGCTGACACAAACAGAGTGCTGTATTTGCCTTTTTATTTCATAACGATATCCTCTAATAGAGCGACTTTATTGCATATCCCCTCAATGACGCTTGTTGCTATGTTGCTATTGCTTTCAAGTGGCCTTGGTTTTGGGGAAGATTTAACTGATGTAATATCGTAGATATAACTCAGGCTCATAGGTGAAACATTATAGTCCTGGAATAAGGAAAAGTTGTTCAGAAGGTAAGGAGGACATTATTTTTCAGTTTATTTGTATATATACTATTGTGTATCGAGTTGCGTTGAGTTCTTAATGCAACTATATGCAACTGCATTTAAATAAACTTAAACATTACGAATACTCCTGTTTTTAGAATAAGAAACATTATTGTTTTCATTAAGTTTAGTAATGAAGAATGGGATTTCTTCCACGCCAGTTTTGTTTAATTGGAGTCTAAGTCTCCGTAGGCCCTTAAGGGTCTTATAAGACCGGCCTTATTCCTTTAATTAAAGGAATAAATTCGGCACAGAGAACTCCTATGGAAACCGAAAGCACTTTTAGTTTACTAAATCTTACTGACTTCCTGTACAAATTTGATATCTGTTAAGTGTTTATGTAAAGTTTGCTGGTGTATTCAGTAAAGTAAAAGTTGTAGTGCATAACTCCTAGACTTGTTGTAGTCATTGGTATTGCCAGGATACTACTTACTCGTTTTATGCAGCCGAAATATTCAATTCTCACTTTATTGAGGAAATACTATATTGCCTGCAAAAGTAGTGCGTCAGTTTACGAGTTTCATTAAGCCTACAGAATGTTTTCTACTCACTGAATACTGTTTGCGAATTATCCGAGAAAACACATTTCCGAGTGGGATGTACACAAGGCTGAATTCTTAAACTGTCATCCTTATAACAGTTCAATTCAATCACACATATATAATAGGATAGTCTGTAATTGACTTTAGACACTTATCAGGGAATAGTCTCATCAACTTACGGTTTGCTGATGATATTGTCCACCTAGACTATGAGAAGTAACCCCTGATGCTGTAAAATATGAAAATAATACCGGTGTTTGATTATAGGTGTCTACGTTATATCTCATGAGTGCTGTTGAGGTTACGCATAAATGTTTAGGTGGGGAGGGTTAGTTAGCCTTCAAGGTAGGGAAGCTGAATAGGTTGAGATGGCTAGAACACGTGCTGGCATACTAAGCCATCGCCTTCCTCCAGGGACAATGCTAGCCAGCACATGTTAAGGTTTAAAATGTGTTTGGGTCGGTCAAATGAAAAAGTGATATTGGTTCATAAAATTGTTGACAGTCAGCTGGAAGAACTACCGGAGATGTGACTGCAAATCTTTGGTACTGGTACAGGTGCATTCACTCTGTGTAATCTCACGTATCTATTCAACTCATGTTTTTCCTTGTCACAATTTATTCTCCCTCACATTTTCGCTCGTTAAACTTCCATTTAGTTTTATGTCTCTACCTTCGTGTGCTACATGGAATGTGGTAAATTAAACAGGTGGACTTCTCTGCAAACTCATACTGAAAGCTAGTCAGAATGCACAGTCTGGGCATAACTAAATGCGAAACATTGATAAATGATCTCCAAAATTTCAACAAATGATAAGTGTAGTTCTTAATCTTGTTCTTTGTCAAATGAAAAATAGATACCTTTCAGTAATCTCTTCTTCCACCCGGGACTCGTCTCCTACTTTGCAACTGGATTTGTGCTTTGTCACTTTTGTGCTTAGTTTTCGGTCATTCAGCATTCGCCGTTGTTGTTGACTCAGCGCCTAGATGACTTTAGTTGAATAAGGTTTCGATCGTGCAAACACGGGTCCTGGGCAGTTGATTGGTTGCATTA